TAGTTTTTATATTTTCCCGATTATCAACCTAAATATATATGCAAGTGAAGAGTTCTAAAGATACAAGAAGCTACACAAATTTCTCTGTTGTCAAAGCAGTGTGGGGATGATGTGCAAAAAGACACCATATATCTTATTTATAACACACATTTTTTGAGTCTTAATTATTTGGAATAGTACACTGATGATTAAGGCTAAGATTTTGTCATGGATATATTTAATAAAAGTAACAGATGGGTTACAGGCAGTGTTCCCTGTAAGCTGTGCAATTGTGTGGCTACTTAGGAGAGAGTCAATTGCTGCCTAACTGATTAAAAGAGTGCCTACAAATAGGTGTTTTGTTTGTTGTTGCACGTGTACAAATGCCACAGTGCGCACACACATTTATTCTGCACATGGGATGGAAAAAACTCTGCACATGGATTGAAAAGATTAGAGGGACCATTGGTCACAGACAATAAAGAAAAACTGACAGAAGCTCATGGACCTATTTGTGATTTTTACTAAAAATATCCATGATTAAATGAGAAGGGGCTGGCTGGGATCTCCTTGGGACTCCCACCACCTGTGGTTCCCCAACCCTGTAGAACATGCACACTGAAAGCTGGGGCTGCAGAGTCATCAAAATATTGTATTCAAAATATTGTATTTAAAAACACCAATATACTTACAGAGCAGACCATTTTTTAAAATTCTAAACTTATCTGTATTTCAGCATATCCTGGGTCCTCACAAAATAGGCATTAAACTGCACATCACTGAATTTTAAAATATATATTTCATTTTAGAGGCTTAAAAGTTTCAGATATGTAGGAATTTGGGAAGTATAAAAACCTCCTTAAAAACTATAAAAAATGTGAACATTTCCAGTTTTCCTCCTCAATCAAATTATGGGGCAAAAATGTTTGCACTGTGACAGGCTACATAATGTTACATCTCACCAACTATAAATGATTGAAAATCAGAGTTTATGAGGGATAGAGTGACAGATCATTAAGACTAATGGAAATAAATGACACTGTTACAGTATGTGGAAAAAGTGACAGCAAATGACAGCAAAAATAACTCATGTATCATACTAGGATTTTCAGTCAGTATAGTAATGGAAATCTATTCAATGCATAGCATTAGTGTAATATCACTTTGATGCTAAAATATATATATTAATATGTAAGAACTGATTGCCAAACTAATAAAAGAGTATTTGAGGTTTATTCAATTATTATGTTTATATTTCTAACAAGACAAATAATTTTATTTCACCATTGTGCTTTTTATTCATGTAGTGACAACTTGCTTACTTCAATATACGTTGTTTTTTTTTAATCTGGTAAATGCTCTTATAAGATACATAAGGAAGCAATGATTTCATGAGAAAGTGTTCAGATACTATTCTGCATTTTTACTATGCTGACAGAGTCTAGACTACATTCCTCTTTCGAAAGAGGAATGTAAATGAAGGAAATTGAAAATGCAAATGAAGTGCCAATTTACAAATCTTGTGTTTCATTTGCATAATTGCATCTGATCGCTTTTTTGAAAAAGGTTTTTTTGAAAAAAGCAGTCTAGACATGATTCTTTCAGAAAAAAAAAACCCTTTTTCAAAAGAACCACATTTAGACTGCTTTAAAAAAAAAAAAAAACTTTCAAAAAAGCGATTGGACACGAATATGCAAATGAAGCATGAGATTTGTAAATCTGCACTTCATTTGCATGTTCGATTTCCTTCATTTACATTCTTCTTTCGAAAGAGGAATGTAGTCTAGATGCACCCTGAGACTTTTTCCAGTTAGAGTGACTTAAATACATATGAAAACTTTATTGGACACAAGTTCATGAATGTGTTAAGGATTTCCCTTAGAAATAATTTAAGTTTATATGCCATTGTACATATCATCTATTCATTGGCTATCCAAAGGGATGTAATCCTTTTATATGTCCTCTGGATCCATTACATCTTTTATAATGAAGGTGTAGGCACTCTAAGGGTGTGTCTAGATTACAGGGTTTTTTTGAAAAAAGTGGCTTTTCGAAAAAACTTCCCCTGCATCTAGACTGCTGAGGTGTTCTTTCGAAAGTAAATCAAAAGAACGTGGCAGTTTTTTCAACCACGGAAAACCTCGTTTTATGAGGAATAATGCCTTTTTCCGAAAGTGCTCTTTTGAAAAAAGACGCTATGTAATGCAAACTGTGCTTTTTTGAAAGAGAACATCCAGACTGCCTGGGTGCTCTACTGGTTGTAGTCTAGACGCTCTCTCTCACTAGAGGCTTTTTCAAAAGTATCTTTCAAAAAAGCCTCTTTCGAAAGAGGCTTGCAGTCTAGATGTAGCCTAAGGGTGCATCTACACAGAAGGGCTTAACTCGAAATAAACTATGAAAATTGAGCTATGTCAATTGCATAGCTTATTTTGACATTGGGGCCCTCTACACAGCACTTATTTTGAAATAGAGCACTCTTCCTCCAACTTCCCTCCTTGTACAATGAGGATTACAGGAGTTGGAGTAACTCCAGCTTGACAGTATTTTGACATTTTTTCAAAATAATTGCTTGCTGTGTAGACGCAGACTACGTTATTTCGAAATAATGAAAGTTATTTAGAAATAATGTTGCTGTGTAGGCATACCCTAAATGCATTGTAGTTTGCCTCTGAATTCAAAAGTGACTCCTCAACATTTCCATAAGCTAGGAGAAGTGGCTCATAAAAGGAAACAGTTGCATAAAATCCCACCCAGAATTTAAGCTGCTGATCCTGCTCTCCAAGAGCCTTATGTAGAGCAAGTTTTGGCTGCAAATTATAGGGCAGGAGAAAAAGTGGCGGAAGTTGTGAATCTAGAGAAAAATGTGTGAGAGAGTGGGAACAGGAATGGGGAGGAGAAAAAAGAGGAGGGAAAGAATGAGGAGATAAGAAACTGAATAAGTGAGAAAGCAAAAATGACAAGGAAAGAACAAACATTAAAAAAGGAAAAAGAGCAAAGACAGTTATAAAGTTCATTTAAAGGCACAAGCTACATTTGGGGGTTATAGTAGATCACAAATTGTATGAGCTAACTGTGAGAGGCAGTTGCAAAAAAAGGAAATATTCTAGGGTGTATTAACAGGAGCGTTGTCTGAAACACATGGGAAAGTGATAAATCTTCTTTACTCTGTATCGGTGAGGCTTCATCTGGACTACGTCTACACTATGTTTTTGCACAAAAACAGCTGTTTTTGCGCAAAAACCTACGGAATGTCTACACCTCAAATGAGCTCTTGCACAATTAAATGGGCTGTTAAACGGCAGAACAGAGGGCTTTTTCCGCCGTAGGTAAACCTCCTTTTCTGAGGCATAAATGCTTTTAGCGCTATGTCATTGTGCAAGAAGTCAAGTGTGGACGCTCCAGAGGGGTTTCTTGCGCAAGAAACCCCTATGGGAAAAAGCACAGGTACTCTGATGGCCATTCTGCGAATGGCCATCAGAGCTTTCTTGTGCAAGTGCGTTCATGCAGCGTGGACGCTCCCTTGTGCAAAAGCACATCGCTTTTGTGATGTGCTTTGATGTTGTGGACATGCTCTTGTGTGAGACGTTTTTGTGCAAAAGCTCTTGCGCAAAAGGCTTCTTGTGCAAGAAGCATGTAGTGTAGACATAGCCCTAGAGTACTGTGTCCAGATTGGGGTACCACAGTTTACGAATGATGTGTACGAGTCCAGGGGAAAGCTAAAATGTTTTGTTTTTAGCACACTAACTAGGGAGAAGAAGAATACTGATTAACAAACATTTCTAAAAATACATGAGGAAATTAAGTTATACGGTCCTTAGACTGTTGGCAAGAGACCATGAGTACTTTGTTTTGTCTAGTTTGTATTCTTATCCATTATATGCAGTGGACTTTAAAACCAGTGTCTTAGAACATGCTAAAGATGTCTACATCACTCATTGGCATGTACTTAAGTTATATGCAAGGTCACTAAACTCATTGCGCTGCATTCTCCATTTTGCCCAAACTTAGTCCTACATTGGAAAGCAGGTCACTGGGAGCACATTGTGGTTACTGAAGAGAAGCTACAACTTGAGGCACAAAGCAATGGCATAAAGTCTGTCATTGATCTTAAACCAGTGTAGGTTTGGATGTAGCAGACCTCTGTCATATACTTCACCCATTCCCTCTTCTTACTGTAAGGGAGCAGTGGAGCTGGGAGAAGAGTGGAGTGGTTCAAAATCTACATCTGTCAGCGTTCTCCTAGCACAGAAGGAAATTATTTGATGGCTATTTCTGGCCAGTTTAAGCTCAATTTGCACAGGCCATTGTAATGACAAAATCATGTAAAACTGTTCAAAATGGCAAAAAGCACCTCTCAGGACTTTCTTTGTTAATTTTTCTTTTGTTTCTAATTTTCAATCCTGCAGCCATAACTGTTGTCCTTACCAATCTTGTTTTCTTCTCCACTAATATGCTGAGAACTGGTTTATTTTATGGTAAATTTTAAATCCTGGGCGCTGCTGTGATAAATTTTATTTTTGAGTGTAGAGAAAAAGACATGCATATCTGCTTTCAACCTTCTCTCCATCCCAGCTAAAATTACTTCATAAACTGATATAAAGAAATAAAAGGTAGAGAAATTTGGATCAATCAAACTTTAAAAATCTCTAAAGCTTCACTCACCTTCTTCATGAGACAGTAGGTAGGGATTTTAAAATTTAAAAAATTCTCACTAAAAAAACAAAAGTCACTTTAGTTTTATACCAAAATTTGGATCAGGTACTATTTAAGCTGATTATCAAAACAGTATTTTAACATCTCCTGGATATCAAGAATAAAAACAACAGGTCACAGTAAATAAGTAATTCCTTTGTGTCAAATCCAGTGAGCCGGTTTTGATTTAAAAATACATGCTCTTATCATGCGCTGTCACTGTGAGGAAACTTTAATGCAATTACCAGAAAAATTAAATGACACAGTAATTACAAGAAAAAGAACCAGAAAGAAAGGAAGAAATTGTCTTTCATAACCAAATTGCTCACCTATATAGGTTCCACTGTTGTGACCAGCACATTCAGCATCTTCTGGACGAAGTGTAAAAGCATACAGAACAAAAAGCCAAGAAATAAAGCAGAATAGTTAGAAGCCCCGCCACAAATGCGAAAGAAGAGTTATTTAAAATGACAATGATATAAAGCATAGCATAAAAAAGCTTTAATATACCATTGCTTAAAAACATAAAACAACTTTTGTTTTATATTTTAGCTGGAGGTATTCTGGAATTTTGCCACATGCACATTTTGGTCTTTTTTGCCTTTCCATACAGTGCCTTTTTCACAACTACAATTAAACATTTGAAAAAGAATTCTAACTTTACATTATTCACACATTATCACTTCAAGAAAATAGAAAATATGATGCTGCTTAAAAAGCAAAAAAAGAAAAGAAAAGAAAAGAAAAAAAAGCCTTTATTTATGTAAACCAAGCTCTTTGGTAAACTATATATTATCAGATTTTAGCTTAGCGTTTTGGCTCAGTGGATTAGACAGAAAGGTTTTTGATGAAAAACATGCCCTTTCATTTGATATAAAATAGTTATAATGTATATTTTTACATGCCAGAAGCCTTTTGATCAAAAATATGAGCTACAATTTCTAATCCTTTATAAGAAGAAGTCATTTCAAGTAAACAAAGTAGAAGAGATAAGCTGCTATTACTTTAACATATGCTGTGACTTTGCAACTTAGGCTATATACTAACTAAGGAAAAATATAGGATGTATTACATAAATAAACTTACTACTGTGTTTGAAAGCAATACATTCCTCAATACTGATTGTACTTAGTTAGCAAACACTTAATGAGCTACTGTATTTTGTCACAACACATGAATGGAAAAGTAAGATATTTTAGGGTCACGTAAAGAACTTTCTTCCACTCCATTCCACTTAGCAAGTTCTACCAAGTTTATGTTATGACACTGTTTCTCTTTTTGTAAATATCTATATTTCCCAATATTCAAATAAAGATAAATCCCTGACCACTAGGTGAAACATCTAAGATTAGTTTGAGTGATATCCAGAACTATTTTCTCAATATGAGATGGTTTAATTCAATATACTGGATGTTGTAGAGGGAATATGGAAATTTTGTACATATAACATCAATTGCAAACTTTGAACTACATTCAAATTAATTCTAAACATATGCTCTCTAAATAAAATTACTGGGCTATGCAGGGAAACTTTTGTACATGTACCTTCAATTTCCTCTGAGAAGCACAAAGGAAAAAATAGGAAAGGAAATCATTAAATGTGTTGAAAACACAGCTGAAGAATGAAAAGTTAAATCTAAGAAGAAAAAATGCACCTACCACACTCAACCGTTTCCTCATCTTAGAATAGCCAAAAAACAAAGTATTATTATTTAATACTTTATAAGTAAAAAAAAAATACATGTATGTTTAGCTGCTCTAAAAATGTCTAAGATAACAACTGTAGAGGCACACACCAATTTATCTACACTGAGTAAAGCCTTTAAATGTCAAAGTTATGTCTGAACTGAAAGAAAGAGGACAGTAAAAGGCACAGCTGCATTATATGCCCTCTACAATCTGAGAATTTTCAGCTATTAATTCATCAGTGGTGACCTATGATCTTATCCAGTTGTGATGAAGCATCTACCTTGAATAAAGAGTAGCACTAGGTAATGATGTTAAATCCCCTCATGTGACTGGTTTAATCAATCAGACCCGGATTTTTTAGAATCGTTACCAGAAATGTGATCTCTTTCAATTTCTACACTTTGGAGTTGCTATTGCATGTTTTAGATTTTTAAAAAATGCCTGCCTATATTTATAACTGTGACAGGTGCTGCAAAAAGGTAAGTTACCTGTTACTTTTGTTCTCAGACAGCCCTATAATTGCAATATGGGGGGGGGGGCATGAATGTTACTGGGGAATTACTCGCTTAAGTGTTTCTGCTGCTGAGCTTAATTATTCTTTTCTAACAAAGGAACACAAGAACAGCTATACTAGGTCAGACCACAGATCCATCTAGCCTAGCATGTTGTCTTCCGACAGTGGCCAACATCAGGTGCCACAGAGGGAATGAACAGAACGGGTATCATCAAGTGATTCCTCCCTTGTCACCCATTCCCAGCTTCTGATAGAGACTAGGGACAGAAATTCCTATCCATCCTGGCTAATAGCCATTGATGGACTTAGGGGAAGAATGTATTGAGAGAAGATGTATATACCTAACTCCATTAAAAAAGTGGAAGGGTAAAAGGGGAAAGACAATCCAGGGCATGGTAATGCTATTCACATCAGAGATATTCAGTGGCTGGAATATTCATATAAATGTCTATTAAGATCAGAGAGCATGGCCAGTGGTTTCTGATAGAAATGGAAGACTGGTCCCAGAGACTACATTTTCAACTTTTCTTCCAACAGCTAGTAACTGATGACTCAGATTCAGGATGACTTACAACTCCTCTGTTTATCTGAGCATAAGGAAGTACCTTTTCCATTTTGCTCTGGGGCATGGACACAAAAGTTCTCTTTGCTAGGAAACAATCTCTTCAATACTGATCTTGAGAGCTCTTTTGAAGGGGCTAATTTGTAAGAAACGCTCTGAATGACATTTAACTTCTCCATTTGACAAGAGAGAGGAATTCCTACATCTGAGGTGACCACTGGGTAAACTGGAAAATCTTCTAAAGTGGATGATGGCTGGCTTACTGTACTCTAGTCTTTCAGAAACACTGATGTTTTGGCTGATCAGAAGCAAAGGTTTTGAGATTATCCTGTTTCTTGAATAATCACAGCTAGTGTGAACTAGCACCCTGACTCTGGAAGCAATGAGTCCCTTTGATGCTTGACTTAGAATGTATCATCCTTGGAATATACCATGTCTCTCCTTCCATGGTGACAAGTTGAGACCATGGATGGATCACTGATTCCTTCATGTCTTCATATGGATAAAGATTGCTCTCTATGCTAGGGATGTCAATGTGTAGACCACTACACAAATAACCGATAAGACTAGGCTTATTGGTTAATCCTGTTGACTACATGCATTCCCCCTACCCCCTGGCTGCTTCTATATCAGATCTGGCGTGGAGCAGCCTCTGTGGAGCTCGGACCACCCACAGACAGAGGCTGCTGTCACCCCATGCTGCTGCCTCTGTATTAGAGGCAGCAGTATGGGGCAGCAGATGGAAGCTGGTCTGTGCAGGGACCAGCAACCCTTGTGGATTGGCTCCCACCTACCACCCCACACTGATACTTTTAATAGAGAGGCAACAGTGGTGGGTGAGTGGGGCTGGGAACACACTGGCTGCCAGCCCCATTCCCTGGGGACTATTGAATAATCGTGTAACCACTAAATTTTGATGCGGTTACATGACTATTAAATTACACACTATCTAACATTCCTATTCTCTGCATTCTCTGGCATACAGCAGGTTCTAGAAACTTCTATTGTATCTCCATTTGAAGGCCCAAAAAGGCAAAGCCACAAATATATGCAAATATATCTCCTGAAAGGAGAAACATTCTATCACATCATATGAAAAGGCCATCTCATGTAAATTCTCCTAAATAAAGAGTTTGTTGAGGTCTTCACTAGTTCGAGAATGAATTGAAGCGCTTTCTTTGATTGTTCAACCTGGCACTTCACCGTGTATGATGAATAACTTCCTATGTGGGCAGAAAGCTTCAAGGAGTGATGCAAAGCCCAAAGACTTTCCAGCATCAAGAATCATAGTCTAGGGATACCAAATCATGAAACCTCTTAGTTTTATCTCTGCCTAAGGTTGACAGCCATCAAGCTTGTGTGGGGAGGAAGTGAAGCTGAGTCATTCCCTATACACAACACAGCTACAATTTTAGAAACTAGCAGGGTGCTATGGAAATGTTTCAGTAGTTACATCATATGGCAGTTAGCTGAAAACAACTCAACGGATTCTATGATTTTTGCCCAGGAGCATTGATGCTGAAAACAGCTGAACAAAACTGTACACCCTGTCTATGATGTAAATCACTTCAAGGCAGGATATGCTACTACCCATCCCCAACACCCTACTTCCATCACCTATGCCCAGGAGTACAGATCCCTCGAGCAAAGGGGCTTGGTCTCAATCATGCTCATAACACTGGTTTACAATTTTTTAGAAGTCGTCTGCTTCAGAGATAAAATGTGCTATTTATTATGTATTTTGATGTGCTGAATTTAAATATGACAATTAAAACAACTGATTGGCTACTGTTTCCAAGATATTTAAGTTTTTACATTTTATGTCTATGTATATTGTGTAGATAGTAGAGTTTTAATCATAAATTGTAAACCTAGGTCTTTTCGTGTGTTTATGGTTGCTTTACATGATAATATTTCACCTGTCCTGTTTATGTATGTCAGCCGACGGTCAGGGCAGTGTGTGTGTGTATGTTTCCGAGAAAAGGTTTAACGTCCGTGTCTTTACTGCTAGGACCGGGGTCCCATCGCAGAGGGTGGCCAGCAGGCCAACAGACGCCCCGTTATATAGGAAGAGCTTATTACACCTTAGATTTCAGCTGCTAGAATTCGTAATTCCTTCGCAGCGAGCAGCCTTGGGGAAAGACTGGAAGGATGCCAACTTCCCTGTTTAAAAATGACATCTGCCAGTCTCTTAAAGGCTGCTCTTATAAATACAACATGTCAGCAGATTTTTTGTTGCTGCATGTGACACTGACTTGCCAACAGCACTTGCATTGGTCACACTGTTTTTGGCTTGCCTATGCCAGCTCATTTGTTATCATAACATTTATTTTAAATGCAACATGTTGGATGTGTACCCTATTTAAAATAATTAAGGAAATAAGTTTCTGCATCAGTCTGTCAAAGCTCCAGTGTAGTATCATATTTGTTAAGTGGTGAAAAATATTGGTAGTCACAAATAGTGCCATCATAAAACATGAGGTATTGAATTGAGCCTGAATTACTTCAATTTAAATATTTTTAATATTTAAAAAGGAAGAATGCAAATAAGTGCTTGTAGGTTACCAAGTTTATGGAATGGAAGGTTCTCAGGCAGTCATGCCACTGATATCACAAATAAATTAACCCAGATTTAAAATTAATGACTTCTGGGTAATATATAAACATTTGGCTAGTACCCACAAACGTACACAGTTTTACAGCACATGTCCTTAGAAAGAGGCACATACAAACATATTCCAGATGCTTACAACTGCCATTACTTTTGGTTTACCTTAATATTTCCTATATTAATTGTAATCCCTGCAGGAGCACTGACAGGGGGAGGGCAAAGGGGCAAATTGTCCAGGGCCTGGCAATTCCAAAGGGCCCAGGGTTCCCAGCTGTTGCTGCCACTACTGCAGCATAAGTGGCACCCAGAGACCTGGGCCCTTTAAATTGCAGAGCCATTTCTCCATATGCCTTGCCTCAGGGCCCGGCAACACTTTTGGTGCCTCTGAATTTGTGCATTTGCTTGTACTCGTATTTCCTTTGGAATCACCCTCTGTTGTGGAAAGCCCCACCACTAGGGGCCAGCATGAAGGAAAAGGTGGAACAGTTCCTGCACAGAGTCCTTATTAATATGCCTATATCTATATCTATCTATGGTATTTATAAGATACCAATCAGTAACTACGGATTAAATTCTTTTTTATGAATTACAACTGAAATGGATTCTGATCTTGCTCCCTGATAGGCAGCCTCTAAAATTTAACTTGATTTTATTTTCTCTTTCCCCTCATCTTATCTTGAGCTTTTAGTTCCTGTTTCTGGAATTCAGTTTCTGCAGAAAAGGGGAGTTTGCCTTGGGCTGTGAGAAGTGCCAGAGAATGATTTATTGTGAATACTTCTGGCGGTGATGTGCTGAAAGAGCTAGTAGCAGGTCTTTGATAAATACTTAACATACGGTTGGAATGATTTCCCATTAGGATGGAATTCACTCTGCCTGCCCCCATGATACATTGTAAACCATCCCTGCCAGAGACTATTCATCTCAGGAACTCATGAAGCTACTCCCAAAGAACATCATGACAACAAATTACAAGATTAAAAAAAATCTTCCATGGGGAAGGAAACCTCAAATTTGAAGCGTCTTCATCTCTGTCCCACATTCATATGATACAAACTGAACAATATGCTGAAAATTAATATAACCAGTAAGACTTGAAAGCTGCTTGTATTTTGTCCACAGCCTTGACAAAATTCTTCATCAGACCCAACTTGATGTGTAAGTGTGGTAACAAAATCTTTCTTGATTTAACAAGTGGTGGATGCTGCACACTTTTCCTCCCAGGCTCCAATTACTGTCGGAGTGGCCAATCTATCTTGATGTAGTGGGAATCTCTTGCATGACTATCCCATTCGCAGAGAAAACAG